TTTGTTCACTTCACTGAAGAGCTAGCTCTAGGACAAGCTCTGGCATGATTAAGTCAACTCCGTACGGATTCGGGATCAACACACAATCCATAGGCTTTGTCGCCTCTCAAGCCGTTAACATTCCGTGTAATAAATAATTATCACAACACATTGTTCGTGCATAATAATCCTCAAAAGTCGCAGCAAAACAATAGATCATATGAGAGAAATATGTTGGAAAATTAGAAAACCGTGCAAAGAATGCGAATGGATCCCATAAGTAAGATTAGAAAGTAATTCATGCGATTATAGCTAATTCAGAATGCATACTCTTGCGAATTTATTGTTTAAAAAGATAGACCGAATGAAGTAAATACCAAACTCATAGCAGACAATCAGCAAACTAGTGGCACACGAATGCAAAATAAGAATTTCGGGAAAACGGAATATCGCATTAACTATTATTCAACACTGATGGTGAGATTACACCATAAAGTATTATGCAGAAAATGTACAGTATATTTAGTAAAATTAAATTTTTCGAGATTTCGCTCCATTCGCGATAATATAAGTCATCTGTTGAATTTTTTAGACTTTATTCATGCAGTATATCCAGTAACTTGATTAGGTTGCGGCACGATAATTCAATTCAGCAAATGCAGTCTAGCAAGCGCTCTCTTCCACCAACCACTCAGATGGAACGCAGCTCTTAACAATGATTATCACTGATCTTCTACTGGCTGACTAGTTTTGAAGCTTTCGGTGAGTTATTCGAGGCTCCAATCCAATCGAGCTGACAATGAGGCAGTGTGAGAACCTATCTTGCTGCATTCCGGAACGATCTGTTCATGTTTTTCGAAGCAGTATGCAATAACAGTATGCAATATCTGATCACCATTCGAAATTTCGTATTCACCACTATTCGAAAAAAAAAANAAAAAAAAAGATGAAAGCACAACTTTTCTTCTATTCTGTTTACACTTCATTATCGCATCCACCAGAAAATTCTCCTGTGTCAGCAGCACTTATCAGCACTCAGCCACTCTCCTATCACAATCAGTTGACGTATTTTATGACGTCCGTAAAACCTGCATCATCAATCCGAACTAATTAAAAAATTAGAATGTTCGGCACGATCGGAATGAAACAAACTTTGAAATATTCAGCTTTTTATCACATGATTCCACCAATCAATGTCAAGTCTTTTTCTTCGTTCGTTATCTGAATCGAGTGTAAATGCCTCAATCCAATTTCCATCTAATCACTCACTGCACACAAATTCCTCATTATGCCATTACTTGCATTTGGGAGCATAGAACACCACCAGGAGAATATCACAGCCAAAAAAAAACGAGATCAATAATAATGGACTGACGACACGAATCAAAATTAGCAAATGCAGCCTTTGAGCAGGTATAACACCAGAATGAAGTGTTTAAAAATTTCAATTTGTCGAAATATTTTCCTCGATCCTCGAATATATTACCTTATTTTAATTGGAAACACTTGCCTCACAAATAATAACTCAGAACAGTTTTGATTTTTCAACTCGCCACATATTAATCATCGTATTTGTTCGTTTCAACAAACGAGCAAACCAAACGCAAAGGAAACGTTTCGTTCGTTGACGACTATCAAACAATCGCACACACAGCAATTATGAATGGCATTCGGAAATAAGAAACTACTAAAATTTCAATTATAATGCTGCAGGTGGTTCAAACACAAGCCAACACAAGAAATTCACTTCAGAAAGAAATGTCATCAACGAAAAACGTTTCAACAATCAACTTGTGATAAACTTTTTAAGATTGCTTAGTGAAGTGCACAAAACAATTCCCTTTCCTCCTTTAAAATTCTGCCAATGTCACACGCTAAATTTTTGCTGATAATGACTGAAATACTCCAAAATGCTTGTTAATAATTGCGCAAAAATGAGAGAACATCATTGCTGCATTGAAGAAATCAAATTTCAAAGAATTCGACCAATGGTGAATGAATATTTTGGTGAATGGATGAATTCCCCAATTGAGAATATGATGAACTAGCAAACAGCGCCAACCGCGAAGAATCTAAGACGTAGTAAAATGAGACGAAGACAGACGTCGCAATCGCAATAATAACACAAAATGCGCTATACCTCATGCAACTGATAATCTGAATCAATCGACTATTGCTTTTCGATCACTTTTTCCAAATACCCAAATTCCGAATCACCAAAAGGATAGCGCCAGATTTGGACTGATTGTAAGTAATTTTGCGTTCTGTTACATCGTCAATGCGAATAGACCGACGTCAGTCTGTCAGAAGGTGAAAGCAGACGAAAGGAAATTGAAAGAGCAAAATCGCTGAATTCAAATACTTTGTAAACGAATACGGATACAGAATAACGCACATAAAAAATAAGTCAACAGAAAATCCAAATCAACTCGCCCGCAAAAATCGTCAAAATAATTGAAAATGGCTCGAAACCATTCAATCCATCCTCCGTAAAGTCAGCAGTCTCTTGTACTAACAATAAGCAAAACACAACGAATGTGAGCATAAATTTTACTTAATCGAACAATCTTAACTAAATGTTATAATATAAAAACGATAATGAAGAGAATAATAATATAAATAATGACGTTAACGTAAATTAATCAACCGAATAAACGATTATCAACACGAATAAAAATAATCACTAAAGAAAACGTCCATTGAAGAATTCATTTCGCACTCAAAATCCAAATCATTCATTCAATTACAATTTGAATCAAATTTTTTTACTCGCAACAAAAATGCAAAAAATAAGTTTTTTCGTTTGGAATTCGAATCAAAAAGGTGACATAATATCAATCACACGTCTATTAACAATGCATCAAATAAAACCATAGCAACACAAAACAATACATATATATATTATATTATCATCCATATCAGAAATTTTAACAACGAATAATAATATTATAATAATGATAATAATAATAATAATAATATAGCAACAAAAAATAATATATATTAGCATATCAGATAACTTAAAAACATGTTATCCGAATCAAAACGATTCAAATTTCATAATCGAGAAATGGCAAAAAACGATTATGATAATAATAATAAAAATAATTTCTGAGTTGATCGCAAGACGAATTCCAACCGAACTGATAAAGTCCACAACAACAATGACCGAAACCTCAACACTGGTTGTGATAAGAAATAATAAAAAAACAATATCAATATTATTAATACGATAATAATATCGGTATTATTCATGCTAATGACACAATATCATTAACTACCGAGTTATCTCACATTGATCATAGCAATAAAATTATTAACATTCGTAATAATTGCATTTAGGACAATGATTAATCGTGATAAATATAATAATAATAATAATGACAGAAATTATAACAGTGCAATTGAAAACAAAATAATGATCTTAAACATGATAATAACATTAGTAATTGCAATAGTAAAAGTAAATTTGACCACGACAAAAATCACTGCAAAAGTGCAATTACAAATAATCGGATGAAATCCAATTGAAATGATTCAAAAGAATAAAAGGATAGCAGTATAATAAAAGACAAACGAATATGAATAACAATACCAGTAAAAGAAACACTTAACCGGTCTTCAATGTACATTATTATTCACTCACCACATCTCAATCGCAATACACCAATATAACTACAAATGATTTACTCATAAGCAAATTCATTGATGCGCAATATCAATTCAACGATAAAATCTACAATAACTGTATCAATATCAATTCATGCTCAATTCTCATTCGCATTATATCTCTAGCGTTATGAACAAATCAGTGACTGGCCAGCACAGTGCACAGTTACTCGAAAAGATCTCTTTAAAATCATACGGTGTAGCCGAAGTGAAATGAATTCTTTCCACTATCACCATCATAACATCGATGGTTGACCACCAAAAAACATTGGTAACGAGCCTAATCCAAGCCTAATTTGGCTTATATCAAGTATCCTAAACATCAAAAATATAAAAATTTCCTCATACGATTTCGTTTTCGCTAAACGAAACGGAATTCTGATTATTCGATTTCCAAAATCAGAAACAAAACAAAACAAAACAAGACAATAATCAGCAAACAATAAAACGAGGAAATTGATGAGCATTTAAGTTACACATGAAAATGTTCGAATAAGATAATAAAGAAAGAGATTTACAAATTTCATTGCATTTGTTGAACACAAAATTACATAATAAGCAGATTTCATAATAAAAACAAAATTGAAAATAATAATGATAATAGTTACAATAAGACCAAGGAGATAGTTCAACTAAACGATTACATAATATAAAAGCAACCACTCAAAAACAAAATAAAACTAAGTAAAATAAAACGCGGAAACAAACAACCGAACGAAAGAATCAAACCGAAGAAAACCCAAAAAAATATATCCATCCATTTTTCACAACACAAAACACTCATCTTCTCATATTGTTACAATAAAAACGAACGAACACAAACAAACAAATCCGACTATTTCAAACAAATGTGTCGCTGTTGTTTGATGAATGACTTCTTCGAGAAATTCTTTTCAAACCACCATAACTTCATTTCCAACACAAAAACAACTATACAAAATTCATGGCCATCAAACACCATTAACATCGCGATCGTCACCAAACAGAATCACACTAAATTATCTAATAATATGCATACATTTGCGACCTGACAACTACTGTCAACAAGTGAGATAAACCATACAGCCACAGCCAGTCACTGATTACATCTGAAATTCGCCAATAATCATTCTCGTGAACATATACGAAACGACTGTGTGAATTACAAACATTTCAATCAATTCAATAAATCTAATAAACCAAAACTGTTTCAACGCAAATGAAACTCAACCCAACCGACGTAACACTCAACAAACCGTAAACAGATGAACCAGAATGAAGCCACCAAAACTTACTTCTAAAAAAACTGTCCGATGCCCAGTCCAGGCTCAAGCCCAGACCCATGCTGCTCACCACCATCATCACCAAACAATCCACTATCTTCGTTTCCCAAACGACAACGCATCATAGGCGGGCGGTGCATCTTCGTTTTCAACTCCCGTCGATATGAAATCAGTTACTGAATCCGAATCGTCGTTCGACGAACCGTTATATGACGGTGGCGATTGCATGTTCAGGTTCGTCACCGTACTGTCGTTCATACTCAAATTCACTGTTGGATTGTTTTTCCATGAATGCGATATATCTCGTGAGGACACCACAGGCACTCGTCCTACGTGATCCTTCTTCATCAGACCACAACTCAAACGCGGATCTCTGAAATCAGCATAAATTATTGCCATCATCAAATTGAAAATTCACATTTCAGTTAAGAATTTATTCTCGTGAATAAAAGCTCTACTGCAAGAAACAATAACAAAAACAAAGCTTTTTGTCGCATCTCACATCTGCTCAGCAATTCATCATCACAATGAATTCTTTAATTCTCACAAAAAACAAAGCAGCAACAATACACTTCTTCAAACAACCAACTGAATAATTCCCACAGAATACACTCAATATCAATATCATAAAAATATCTCACACACACAATTCACAATCTATAATTCGAATAAAACTTTAAGAATAGACCAGCACAAGCGAAGTATTATATTTTCAAAAAAAAAAACGAAGTGACTAACGAAGGTATTGCTGGAAGCGTTTGTTCACCGTATTCAGAATAAGGCGGTGGTTTCAGGTGAGCAGTTGCCGCTAGACGATCTTGTAGTGATATCGATCCAGTTATCATCATATTATCACTGTCAGTACCCTCGTCCTCATCACCATCCTCCGTTGACGTTCCTTTAAAGAGCGCCATTTATTTACATCTTTCATTAAATGCCACAAATCGGCATACAAGTAAACAAACAAGAGCACAGTGCAGTACAGTCAAAAGCTAACCTTTTGTACTTACACCAAACGATCTGTGCTGTGCTTTGCATGGATCGCTTGGGAAGGCGGCTGTTTTAAATGATGGCTTATTAATATTTTGCGATGGAGAATCGTGCAATGCAGATGAAACGTGAACGAATCTGTTCGGTGAGGCGAACATCTTACCCGCATGCAGTTTCATAACTGTATCTGATAGGCTTCTCGCGTGATTTGGCGTGACTGCTGCTGCTGCTGCATCCGACGATGTGGTGGCGCCGCCTTGAGAGGAGATTTGATGCGACCTTGATAAGTTCTCAAATGACAAGTTCTGATTCGACGATTTGCTGGCTGCGTCCATTGCTCTCGGCTCATTCGTCTCATCCTTAAAATCATACACTTCGCTCGCTTACAGACGGTCGTCACGGCTACCTGTCATCTCTTCATTTCGTGAAAACGACCGCATTTCAGAGCCAATGTCAAAACGAATCTTTCGACTGCACAAGAGCAATGATAATGTAAAAATACGTCAGTTAATGACAAGAACAACAATAATATCAGCAATCGAATCGAATAAATAATATCAGCAACAACATTAATATCATCGATGAATTATTGAGATTTCAAAAAATAGTTTAAAAAATGAAATTAAAGACCAACCAAATCGTTACCATACCCTCCATCCCGCACTGCACGCTTACTGATATCGTCAAAGCTATGCAATAAATCCAACGCGCTTTTCGTTCGATCCAATCCTGATGAAGTCTTCATTTCGTTCGGCCGACATCCGTAACTGTATGTGTTCTGCTGAAACCATAGTCTACATTAATAATCGATAAACAAAACAAAAAACAAAACAATAATAACGATGACAATTATAATAATGAAAATAATAATAATAAGAAAAAACCACAAACATTTCTATTCAATTCACGTCGTAACCAATCTTCCAGAACCAATAAACTATCGCAAGCGTCACGTTCTTTCACAATCATCTGCAACTGTCCACTCAATGAATTTAATGTTGCACAATTCAATAACAACACAAGAAAAAGAGGAACAACTTGTAAGAATTGCAAAGAACAAGAATTGTAAGAACAAAAACAACATAAGTACTGCAGATGAGACTGCTTTAACCTAGCATGAAATGAATTATACTTCTTGTATGATGATATTATAAAAAAATAATGTATTATGATAATACACGTAAGAAATAACGTTGCATTACAAAGAATCTCTAAATTTCACCATGAAGAATCATTTTGCAACGTTATACAAATTGATGATAACAATAACACTAAATGCAAGCATATGAGCAAATAACTAACTTCATAAATCTCAGGATTTGCATTGATAATCTTAATCAATGATTTACACATTTTGTACGGTTTGAAAACACTCGAATCCCTTTGAGCCAGCACTTGCGCAATGAAACCTTTGTATTTACGGTCCTCTGAAATTCATTACTTGACATCACAACTGCAATTGACAATAACAATAACAAAATCATTCCTGTCGTCTCCAAACTAATAACATTTCAAAACAAACCCGTTCCCAACATTGCGACACGTAAACGTTTCGTTTTGAATGAATCGTTGATTGAGATTAAATTCTCGAATATTTCAACTGCATTCTTCACTTCTGCTGGTGTAAACATCGTCTGAAAGTGAAAAGCGAAATGCTATCACCGAACGAATATCTTTTACTGATAATGACAACAGCTCATGATAATCACTCAAAATAATTAATGAATACACATTCCAACAAATAACAGATAACTGAAGTAAATAAACTCGTAAATTATTCGACGAACATTATAAAATTTGGCTAGAACTTTGTGAATGATCAAAACCAAAAAAATGAATCAAAACATACGGAATATAGCAAAGATATCCGAGAAAAGATATCTCACCACATTACTAACTAATCATCATGGACAAATGATTATTATCACGCTGATAAACTGAAACAATCGTTTTGTAAGTCGATGCAAAACAAACAAACCTCAAAAGAGAAGTGCTGCAATGCCATTACTGTGAATTCCAAATTCTCCCAACACAAAAATAGCAACGTTTGAACGGCAACAGTATAATCCGATGGTAATTTCAACAACTGCTCCAATAACCTTAAAAAATCATCTTCACATATCTGCCAACGTTCCCGAACCAAAAATTTTAATACTATGAATAAATTAATATGAAAAATAAAAATATATTACGAAAATTATGAGAAAATAAAATATGAAATAAATATTATTTTAAAAAAAACGAATGAATAAACCAAAAATGAATAACTATAACCTGTCCACACAAACCGGATCATTCATCCACATCTTAATTCCAGTTGGCATCGGAAGTAAGCCCGATTTGGCCACAGCGTACGGATTCACAGCTGCTTTATCCTTCAATTAAATCGCTTATGATGGAATAATCTTCATTTACATAACCAACACTAACAATCAAAATGATGAATAATAAAACGAACCAACTGCGCTCGGTCGTTATCAATGATACAAGTCCTCAGCAACGATGAAATGATCTCGTAGAACTTCGTCGTGTCCTGGTAAATCATCTTGACACGACTGTCGTCCCTCGATATCATCACAAGCATATAATACAATGCCTCTTTCAACACCAATTGCTTCTTCTGAATTCAACTATTCATCATTATGTTGTTAAAATTCCTTATGTTACCATATGTATTGTTTTTACGTAAGAAAGAAATTAACTAATTTCTTTTATTTCGAAAACTACTTTCAATGAGTTGTTAACCAAATATATTTCAACAAATAAAGACCCACAAGCAATTTGCACAACTTCAAAAAAGAATAAACGAATGAATTACATCAAAAATATTCAGACTGACCATGCATCGATATGACGACAGATTAGGTGAAGTTAACATTTAATCGAAAACAAACAAAAAGCGAATCTCACTTGTTCGAGTCCCAATGCAGCGTAGAGGTAGAACAAATCAAAGTAGTTGCTTGGATGTGCACTGAAGTCAGCTGGATTGTTACGCGCTATGATCAGCATTAACGTGATCAGCACATCAGACACCGTATCGCCTTCACGACAAATCGTATCCAATTTGAAGTCAATGCAATCACCTGAATTTTTATTGAACAATCTTTGATAAACACAATCAAAACGTAAAAAATATTATTTCCTTCCTTCANATATTTTGGGTGCAGAAATATAATTTTACTTATCCAGTCATTACCATTAACACTCAACAGACATCAATTGTTCGATGAAAAACAAAATTTCGGACATCCGAAAATACCTCAACATCAATTTTTTAAACATCCAATGCTTTCTCTGATTTTCAAAACTCCAAATAATATCAAACAAAAACTTCATAAGGAACAAAAACTAATCAGCTGCTGTAACAGTCTCTTCCACTTCCAAAAGTGCATGTTCGTGTGAATATAAGTCAAACAATAGATTTCCAAAAATATAAATTCGAAAAAAAAGGCAAAACAAATGAAAAGCTTACCGAGATACGGACGAAGCGATTGAATCTGATCGAGACGAGTACTGTCCATAACGGCAACCAAAATATTCACAAAGAAACTTCTCACCTGAAAAGATGACAAACAATTCATTAAATAGGTGACTGCATCAAATTGTTCTGATGAACTGGAAAAGCAATACAACTGAAATGATCATCTCAAAAAATCGATTAAGTGAAACCATATTCTCAGGATATTCATTCCGCGAAAGAGTATCGCAAAAGAATGCAAATCACAAAAATTAAACGAAAAATCGAAAAACGCACATCAGCAGAAGGCGCAACAAACAAGTACATCACGATCAACTTCGGCTGGAACATCACGTTGCAAACGAACCACGCACGGCAACTCGCTGACATTTTGAATAATGACTCCAATGTTTTTTGCCACTCCAATAAATTACCACTCCTAAAATGTCAATAACAATCTGTTTATACTTCAGTATCTTCTACAACAATAACTTTCAGCTCCAATCATCAAGTAAAATCCCATAACATAGTATATCAAAACAAAAATATCAAAACAGTCATAGAATATAGTTTCACTATTCATCAAGTTCAACCATATGAATTCTGATTTTCCGAAAAAAGGCAAAAAATTTTAATGCAAAATATGGATTACAAGTCATTCAAAAAAAATTTCCTGGAAATAAAAAAGAATCGCACGTTCTGCAATCATAAACCATTAACTGCTCAATGCATCGAAGCTCAGTAAACTAGTCAAATATGAGTTTTGAATTCGTTTTTTGTACAATAACCATCGCATCAAAACTAATTACCATCACAACAAATCAGATATAATTAATACCTCAACGTTTTCTTGGCCCTTAACGCCGTCAAAAAGAGGAATTTACTCAGCAATCGTATCGTTACCATACACACTTTTCTGCAAATACAAACTAAATACATTCAGCTCTCCGAACTCTACGCAAATACTTCTCAATTCAAGCAAAAAATATTCTGAAATTGAGCAATGGAACACTCGATTACAAAAATTGGTTTCATCATAAAATATAATCAAAACCAAAANAACTTGAATCGTCGTAACTTTTTCTCATCTGTGCAGTACTATCAAAAAAAAAACTAAACAAAACTAGATTCTCGAAAACGTAAATTAATATACACATTCATGCATGAAAATTGAATATTTCAATTCGATTGCATCAGCACAACAAAAATTTTGTTGAACTTTTCACCACTTTTCAAAGAAACGATAAAAGAGCAATGGAACATTCCAAATTCGAATTCAAATAAAAACAACAACAAAACAAAATCACACTAACTGTGATCGTTCATGCATCGATCGTGTATTCTTGCCACGTATCATCGCCTCCAACTTTCGTGGTAATTGCCGTAGACGTGAACCTTCAATGATTTATTTCAGTAGTAACGAGTAATCAGTTCAACCAACAATGCGCAATACCACAACACTGACTAATAAAAACAAACGAAACAAAGAAATCAAAAAAGATAAATTGCAACAAACTCAAAGACATCGCACTAAATTTCTTGTCGATTCCACCGCCCGTACCAACCGTCACTGGACTGACGGAATGCGACGTGGCTGAACGTGGTGAGTGCGATTGCGACTGCAGAGTGGACGAATACGATTGGATCATCTCGCTCGACGAACACAACGCCGAATCGATGCATGGATCACCGATCTGAATGTATCAATTAATATGCACTCGGATTACAGTTAACTTTATTACCCTCATAAATATCGTTGATATTTACCACTCGTAGTAAGACTCCTATCTGACTTTATTACCCTCATAAATACAGTTAACCTTATTAACCTCATAAATACGTTGATATTTACCACTAATAGTAAGATCCTTATCTTATCACTACCCTTACGGCTAACATTATTATCTTAATCAAGACAATCGAAGTGATAACTGCGATGAATTCATGGTTTGCTCACAATCAGTTATACTTAAGGCATTGACTTTTGAAATTCATCTATTCGCTTGTCTGATGGAGTGACTTAACTGGGCCAATTATCTGCAAATCCACCACAATGCGGGTTAGAAGTTCAGGTTCGATTATAGAACAAACCTTTTCATAAATCAATAAATACGCACTCCACCACCGTTTCTGTCTCTTCTTCTGATATCGATTACTCGAATTATCGAACGCCTCCGATACGTAATCACCACCGAACCATGTACTACGCATTTCCTTAATTAATACACTCCATTAATATTTCATTCAGAACACAGCAATATAAAGTCTAAACATCCATCCTTCATTAATGATCATCAACACTAATTATTAATGAACACACATAATCTATCCTTATTTGCATGTTAAGCAATAACATTATTCGATGCAATAATCAATCCTAGCCGAATTAACCAGGTGCCCTTTCCATGTTATATCCTAACTATCCATTAATTATATTATAAACTACTAATGGCAGCTGCAACGTATGCCAATATTAAGGATAATCCCAGGTATGATTAACGATTAATTAATAATGTTTATAATGAACTTATTCGATCTCAAGGTTAATCTCTCCTCAATTCTCGCGCAATATTACTCGATAAATAACTTTAATAACTCATTCAAACGCAATTAACATCGCTTACTGCTGCATAACAAATGAACATATTCCAATTACATATTATTCTTGAAAATTTTTTCTAATATTCACAATAAAATTACAGGGAACATGAATGGGTTATATTTCATGATTAAATACTCATCAATTAAATGCTAAATGCTTCGAATAATCTAACCATATACATATGCGATTGTCCTTATTTTCATTTTAGAAAATTCAAAAAAAGTAAAATGAAATGAAATAAGACGAAATCCAGAATGAAATGAACTCAAAAAAAGAACCTCTTTGTTGAGAATACACTCGGTCACATCGATGTCATCGAATTTATACCATCGGTCATCATTTTCGTCCGATCGAATGAACGAATAATAATGACCACCGTTCGCTTGACCCGAATGCACCACAACACCTCGCAAACGATACTGAGTGCTGAAACTTCAAACTATCATTCACTATCATTACTACTGTCATCTCTACATTATCATCATTATACTTTAATCATCCTTGCCACTGTTACCAAACTTCCAACCCATAATCTTACACGATACAATCAAAAATGATCAAATTTCACTGATCAAAACAATCAACTCATCACCGACCTGTCATCAACACTACTCTTCTGATCGAGTGTCGATACACACCCTCCAATCATCGCACTATCCGTTGCGTACTTCTCAGACTGAGACTCGATCGATGCACCTGCAATATTCAATACGACATCTATCTTTTCGAATAAGAATACTCATTAATATTAATAAAAACATAATAATTGTACAATTATATCCATCGAAATAATTAAACTAACAAAAATAGATCTACCCTTATAGATCCCTTCAAAATCACCCTTTCACAAACTCAATCCAAACAACAACTCACCAGTGCCACTATCCATCACAGATGATGACGAACGCGCTGTGTAAGTACTTTCTTTGGTGGATTCGGCTAAATCATCAAAAAGTTTAGTTTACAAACTGAACGAATTTTAACAAAAACACAACAGTGATAAATAAAAACGACTGAATGAAATACTCAAAACATCAAAAAATTCAGCTTAACAACCTTCTGCAGCCAGTGTATACGGCATCATATCCAGTTCCAACGGAAATTCAAAGTAATCATTGTATTTCTGTGGAATATCGCGTTCCCAATCGAAATCGAATCTTTTCAACTGGATTGTTAAATACGGTGGCAATTTAGCTACACACAGTCTCTTTATTGCAGTCACCTTCAATCATTGTGATATTCTATATTAATCATCAAATAAATATTATTTTTACAAACCTATACGAATGACGTAAACGAATGCTCATTCATTTTTAAAATCGGATTGCAATAAAAGACAATCCCATATCTAATAATTTCTTCTGACCTAATCAATGGGATATTCTGTAAACATCAATTTGAAATGCAATACAATCAGAATCAAATCAAGATGGCGTAACAAAAATTCCAACCTTCTTATTGCACTCCTCACACAGATATGCGTTATCATTATTCAACAAATCGCCCTTAACATACTCTTTAAGTGAATCTAATAAGTTATTATGAGATCTGATGTCAACTGAGATCGATGTGAATGCCTCTTCGCGCAGATACCTGAATTCATTCAATTCAATTCACAGCACGACAACTCCATTCAAACGATAACACCTCACTATCCAGCCAATAATTACAACGAACCTATGCGGACAATCCTTACAAATCTTCTGATCTGCAAATGTACCACCGAACAACTTCTCACATATCGGTGATTCACCAATCTTCTTCAGTCCCTCATCGATCGAATCAAAAAGTGCATTATAAAATTCGAGTGCATCCTGCTGTTCACGCACATTCACCGCCTGACCGTAGAATCTGTAATCAACGAATAAATCACAAAGGAACATATAAATGAACGATCGATGCAACAAAACCTAAAAAGAAATGCACTAACTTTCGAACAATATTTTTTTTTCTCAAAAAATTTTTACAAAAATATATCCCACAAAACGAATACATAATTCAATCGATCAGTCCTAAACGATTTCTCGAAAGACTTTTGCAAACTGATTTAACGAATTTCTGGAGTGCTTTCTAAAATTGTACAAAAATGAAGTTTTCGCTCGAAATAAAACCTAAAGTGATTCCAAAAGAATCGCGGAGTATAATATTGAAGCTCAGAGCCAAGAAGATGAGCGAATATCGACTGTACTGCCTTCAGCATTGTTTCGTGATACTGCTCTGGTGTTTTCCGCTCGAATTCCTTCAAATGTTCTATTTCATTACCAATTGCATGCAAATAAAATGAATAAATAAATGTGTAAAGAAACGATAAACTGAATGAACAATGAACATCAAGAAAGTCACAACGTATAATCACGTCAACAATGGAGAACTTGAAAAACCTTATTTAAAAGTTCAAAAAATGAAATCTGAAATTGGCAAACAAAAAAATTAAAAATCAAAAATATACCCTAAACAACATAAAACGATCATCTGTCCCCTCGTCAACGTCGATCTCGTCTGGACAATTCGCATTCAACAATGCGGCTCGAAGAGGTTCAATCATGAAAATCTAAAATGTGCCATCAATAATATCAAAAAGACATTCATGAACATTTACAATTTTACATCAAAAAATTGAGATCATGAAGAACAATCTAGTAGAAAGATAATTTTTCGAAAACAATCAAAAATAAACCTGCTGAAACACAGAATTCATNTTCTTCAATCCAACGTAACTGTTCGGTGTTCGTAACGAAAACGCTGGCATATACTCCCACTCGATGTTCATTGTTGGAATAGACCCTAGAAAGTCGGTTTCATTAGAATCGCACGGGACTTCATTTCAACGGAACCACTCTCAAATACAATTTCTAAACTAGCAAAATACTGATGAACAAACGCGAATGAATAACACAAAAATATAATCACAATGAAGCGAAAAAAGAAACGAAAGCGAATCAAAACAAACCCGAATAAAAGAGTTGATTGAGCAGATCGACCATGCAGAAGTAGTTCGCAGACGAGTCATCGCAGAGCACCATCAGCAGATCGTACGCTGACTTCGTGCTCATGCCACTGCCACACACCGGCACGCATCGATTCGACGAGATCGGCACTGTGCTCGCTGATCGCGGCATCGCATTGCCTTGTTGAGATCGTTGCTGTGGCTGTTGCTCTGAATGTTGTGGCTGCTGTTGATCTGCGCCTTGACCTTAACCAATCGTCACTATTAACGCAATAACACATTCAGGAAAAATAATTTACAACTGATAAAAAATAATATATAATACCCTCGTGCACACATACTTCGACCATATCAGTCTTAATAACAATCAAAAATTCATGAATAACGATAATAACAATAATTCGAAATCACAACGACACCAGCAAATCAAAACTGAACTGTAGTCTAATATCACTATCTTTTAAGAGTCCCAATAATTTAAAAGGAATCGCAATAAAAGTGATAGTAAATAATTGCAACCTGTCCGTGATGAAATCGCGGAATGTGTGACAGAACGTTGAATATGCGAGAAATCAGATCCCTCACGAGAGCGTTCCATATCAATGAATGCTCGAGATGATGTTAACACGTACTCGTCTATTATTTGCTGAAATCATTTATTCCACTTCCAGTTATAACACCAACTGCCCGACATCCCAATACACAGTAAACACAACAACACAATAAACACTTCTCAAAAGACTTATCTTGAATACCATAAATTATATCTTGAATAATGATACCATAAACACCAACGACTAAATCCAGTACACATCTACTAAACAACTCATCAAACGAGCACATACCCTCACGAACTGCTTTCCATTCGGGTCACAACCAATAAACTGCTTATGTTCATACGGTAACATGGCCACCAAACACCGACCCACGTCAAAATATCCAATCAATAACGTATCCTTCGGATAACTTTCCTGATGGATTGCGGTATGTCGCTATAACGATCTTTATTTACACTTACCAAAATCACTATTATTTTCGTTATCAATTATTATTATTATCACTGTTATTATTATGATTATTAATTATAATTTTTTTATCATCAATATTATATCGCTCTTCATATTAATACATCCAGCAAAAAAGGAATATTCGTTTAGATGAATAGACAATATCGCAATAATGACAAAGAACAAACAAAATAAACCTTCGCAGAATCAAGCCATTCGAGAACAGTATCAACGCGAGATAAATTATTATCCAAACGAACTTGCGTTTTGCGACAGTATTCCAACAATCTACAACATATTGCCATCATTATAATGACAACGATCAAAACAGAAGTTACCGATTGCAATCATAATAACAATACCAAGTATAAATTCAAAACATAAAATTGAAAAGTTAAACAAGTATAAACTTTAAAAAAACAAACAACGAAATGAAAAATATCATACTTGCATAATAATGTGAAATATTCAGATGCTATTTCGTGTTTTTCCTCTGTTAAATGGATATTCTCAAACAGAACATTTATGGTGTTGACCAGCAGCGATCGCTCTGTTACGGATGGACGACTCAGAATTCTACTGATTATTTGTACAGCGTGTTTACGCACTTTCCTGAAATTACAATACAAATATCAAAATTTCAATTTTGTCTAAAATTATCTGAAACAATTTACAGAACATTTCTAAAGATAACACTCACAAATTTCTCAAAAAAATGCAACAATTAATCATTAATCCATAATTCATTATTCATCTAATCGCCTCAACAATGCATTCATATTTCCTTCTTCACAACGTAAACTATTTCATATTGCCACGAATATATTATTACAATGAATAGAAACTTGAAAGGTTTTTAAGATGAAAATTTCTTAAGAAATACATTCAGATGTCTTTAACAACTCAATTCATGGCACTCTTCACCATCAGAAACTTTAAACAAAACTCAAAAAAGCAATCTCAAACACCTACTCGCTGCTACACAGAAGTAATTCGACCACAATCGACGACCACATCGAGAGTTTAGTTGCGATGATATCGGTGCCATTCAAACCGATCGACGCTGTCCCCAAACACTCCAACGCGACCACTGTCACATCTTCTTGGGTTTTACTCATTTCGCACTGAAATTTTAATATTATTCGATATGAATCTGAACACTCAAACACTTAAACTGACAATAAACACTCCNCTGCCAATCAATTCAGTCAATCTAACAATCAACTCTACTCGCCCTAAGTATCATTAACTCTGAATTTTCTTTGATCTGTAACGATCTCGAATGCAGAAAATATTCGAACAAAAGTAATGATTCACTTCAAAAACTTCCAGAATCAATCTCCTGATCTATACAGAATAATCTGCACACTCACCAACTGCTGCGATGCGGCAATGGCTTCCTTGGATGAATTCATTGGCGGGTTGACACGATCCGAGTTGACAATAAGGGGGATGCGCCTTGAACCAACCGCCCAAACGATTCGCATCAAACAGTCCATGAGTTGAGCATCAATGTTGAAAATACTGCGTAAATGTCGCAGTTCACGTTTACCCTCATCCAAGCCACTGCAAACATCCAATGCAATCCGATCACAATACTCTCGGTAAATACCACCGATCATGTCCGATCCCAACGGCACACGTTCACGTTCGTTGCCTTGATGCAGTATCTGATTCTGAAACTTTTACATTTATTCCCTTATCTATGTTTTCATTCTCCACAACCAGGATTTCAGGATCTCACTCTGCATGATGAGAACATAATCAATCAGATTTAATCTGAGATTATTATCACCGTTTTAATCAGTTCTATTTCCAACACAAAACATTGTTAACAATGAGGGTTTGACCGCAAAACCATTAACCGCAACTCCCATTACAGACCGTGACCGGTCAATCTGTCTAAAGACATTTAGTCTAACGGACAATTTGCCTAACTTACGGTTTTTAATGGATATTTCGCCTAATAGGCAAACTGTTCCTTAGGCAAACTGTCCGTCAGGCAAACTGTCCATTAGGCAATGTGTCTTTGGGCAAACTGTCGTGAGGCTAAATGTCATTAGGCAAATTGACCGGGTACCATTATAAACAGTAGTTGTAGTTCAACTGAACAACTAATAAAAACGACGAAACGAAATTCCAAACAAAAGCCGTAATGATAACGCTGTAATGAAACAAACTTTGACTCTAACAGCCACGGATAAAACAAATTTCGCGATATTGATCAACCACCATAATGCCATTATACACGCCAATGCATCCCAACGATGCAACACTTGTGGATCGTTTAGGAACGAAAACACTGCCAAACACGATATTGAATGAAAGAAGGTGCGCTGAAATTTTCATTCAGATTATTGTCATCCTTTATACAAAAACACTCCCGTATGAAAACCTCTCTCGACAGTCTTTATTCAGTCACAAAATGACCACCAAACGAATACATCGAAACGAAATGATGAATTTAAAAATTACATCAAAAATCCCCAATATCTGAATTCAAACGACTAAATGAATAACCTGAAACTGTTTCGCGTGCGGTTGTAAATTCGCATCGCACGGCAACAGCATCGAATGCAAAACCCGTAATAAATACAACGTTCTACTCGGCGTTTCTGACGACATTATGTCTATCAAACGATTTGTTGTTGTCATTTCGAATATGATGTTCATCGATAACAAATCTGCTGGGATTTGACTGAAACAATCGCATTCGATCACTCGATATTACATCACTATTACTGATAATTAGATAACAGATACGAGCCGGATCATTGCCTAGCTCAGGCTTACAACATTAATGATATTGGTATACCACTCGGTTTCGCGCAAAAAATCACTATCACTATTGGTTTTGTCATTATTGACATTACATTATCAACGCAATTATACTCGCTACCAAACTCATGAAATTTTCACAAAATTTCTACACTAAATCCTGAACTAATATCACTCAAGCGCAACTCACAATTGCCATAAACTGCAATGAATTCAATTCCACTCATACAATTGTTACATACCTATCCAGTAAACAATCAACAAAAATCCACATCAACAACACAAATGATAATCACAGCATCAAACAATGTAAGCAATTAAAAAACAACGATAAAAAACGCACTTCAAAACCTTCGATGCTGCATCACGCAACTCCACTGAGCCGTATTCAAAGCCAATATCTTCCAGAGTGTACAAAAACCGAACATAATCCGAATTCGACGATATCGTATTACCGGCCAATAAATGCTCTTCTTCATCACTGCACATCCCACTCATAGTTTCACTGAAACATGCATTTCATTCATAATCTCTTGTTCATATTTCAAATTCATTTCATTGCGACCAAATTATCCACTGAATCCAATTCAAATTCATCCATCATATTTCAATTATTATCACTGTAATATTAATCAAAATTATTCAATCAGATGAAAAAATCACCAAAACAAAACAGATTACAAACCTCGGATCGGGACTCGAATCCGAACTCGTCACGAAACGTGATGTTGACCATTTCGATAATGAGAATTTGACAAGCACCTGGCACGTTTCATCGATACTCAACTCATACAAAGTTCTCCTGTATTCCCTCGCATCCAACATCTTCACATCCTCCGATAGGTTATTGTTTGCGCACGTCGCTATACTGTTGATATTTCCAGTGTTGTTGTACATATCGCTCATATTTATGTTCATATTATTATTATCGTTCTTACTGCTGCTATCAGTGACACTACTTGCCCGCTGCACACCCAATTGAAAGCGTGCCATCGTACCGTCCACACAACATCCATCCCAACTACGGATTCTGTCTTCGATCTGAAATTGATTACATTCGCTTTACATTTTCAATCTACAAGGAAAACTAGATAAGACGAATAATACTGCTAAAATGAATGAAAATGAAATGAATTCTTTAAAATGAATCGAAAACGAAATTCAATAAAAAATTCTCTATCGATTCATAACTTATTATTATTACTTTCAATATTGTTACTTCAATTCATCATAAAATCTCGGCATATATTCCACTACAAATTTATCAGTGAAACATTTCAGAGTTGAACAATTCAAAAATCGACTTCAAACGCACCATAGCTTTAAGTGCTGATGCAGTCATATTGCTATGCACAGAGAATATCTCTTCTTCATTCGCATTACTCGATGTATTTGTACCTTTAATTACGATTCATCAATTCATTTATCAAAATCCTGTCGACAAAAAAAACAATGTGCTGTTTGCTCTAGTGATGATGACA